CAGAGGCTGGCAGGATTTCATTCACCACTGCATCCTCAGCATTTAGCTCAGAGTCTGACTGCCCGGAATGTTCTTCTCCCAGATGTTTGCAGGGCTGGTTCCTTCCCAGAATTTCGGTCTCAGCTCAAAAGTCCTCTAGGATCCCCCACCCCTCCATCACACTTACCACTTCTCACTCTCTGAAATCAATGCCCCCGGTCACGAGTGAGCTTCTTATCTTCCTTCACTACGTTGTATAAGTTCTGCCACTGCAGTCCCAACACCAAGACACACCTTGGGGCTTCACTAAATACCGCATTTGTGGTCAGCCTGTCTCACAGTGTCTTCCAGCTCATCTAAATCCCCCCTGTGCAGAGCACACTCCCCAGGTACTCACCCCCTGCCTCACCTTAGCAATGAGCGGGGGAGTCAGGTGGGGTTCCTCTCCTGGGGGACGCATACCGTCCAGTTCACTGGGGTGGGTCCATCAGGGCCAGCTGGCCGCCTGGGTAGAGCCCACAACCCAGCCCCTACCTCCTGTGACGTGAGCTTTGCTAGGAGGCCCAGCTGGCTGCCAGGACCTGGATACCCAGTGTGTGTCTCTGGACCAGCAGCATCACCTGGGAGCTTGTCAGAAATGCTGGGTCTCAGGCCCCAGCCCCGGCCTCCTGAGTGAGCATCTGCATTCCAGACACACCTGTCCCTCTCAGGTGACTCGCGTGCAAGTTAAAGCCTGCACAGCACTAGGGTGCTGCAATGCCTGCGATGCCACCACTGCTGGTGGACTGAATGTTTGCGCCCCCCAAATTCCTATGTTGGAACCCTAACCCCCAGTGTGATGGTGTTCAGAGGTGGGCCTCTGGGGGGTGACTAGGTCATGAGGGGGGGCTCTCGTGATAGGATTAGTGCCCTTAAGAAGAGACAGGAGAGAGCTTGCTTCCTCTTCTCTCCACCATGTGAAGGCGGCTGCCTGCAAACCAGAAAGAGAGCCCTCACCAAGAACTGAACTGGCCGGCACCTTGATCTGGACTTCCCAGCCTCTAGAACTGTGAGAAATAAATATCTGTAGTTTAAGTCCCCCAGTCTATGGTATTTATAGCAGCCCAAGCTGATGGAGACAACCACTAACCATCTATTCTGGCGATCTGAAATGTAAATACGCTGGGAGGAGCAACACAGTGAAGCAAATGATGCTAAGGGAGGGGTGACTTGTCAGATGTTCCCCTCCTGAGAGCGGGGTCCTGGGACAGGAGGCAGTGCCCTGACAGGGAGATCAGGCCCCAGGCTTTTCCAGCAGGACAGAGCACACCTGAACCCATTCAAATGATGCCATCGAAAGTAAGGTAAGCCCTGTGCTGGAAGGTGGGGGTGAGGGTGGGAGCACCAACATTGCAGGGGGGGTGGTGTGTGCAGTGGGGATGACTGGGCTCCTGTCATCTGCCTTGTGACTTCTTAGCTTTATGGAGCTTGGCAAGCCCCTTGGCCTTTCCAACCTCAGTTTCTCCATCTATGAAATGGGTTAATAATCTCCCCTCTCAAAGAGGCTGTTGGGAAAATTAAATGAGAACACACTTCACACATAGAAAAAGGCCACCTCATCAATAAAGTGCTGTGCAGTAGTATTTATTGTTACAGTGTTAAATTCACTCTTGGGAAGACATTCGGGGCCAGGAACGGCATCTTTGCTCATGGACAACTCGCCTCCTTTGCAGCCCCAAACTCCCCTTGTGGGGAGGGCTCAGGAAATTCTCCTCACCAGCCAACACTGGTAATCGAGTCGGCTTCAGAAGTCGCTTTTCCCCCCGGGGTTTCTTTTCCCCATCAGTCAACCACCAGGAGCCTCTTGGAGCCCCGAAGAGCAGAGCGGAAGTGACGGTGCCCAGAACATATGGGTTTTGATGGGCAAGGGGCGAGCTAGGCTTGGAGCAGCAGAGGGGTCTGGGTGCCCCTGCAGAGAGCACTGGAGTCGCATGGGCCTCAGGATCTGGGGTCACTGTTCTGAGGCCCCTCCATGCTGGCTGAGTAGAGACCCCCTCCCCTCGACCTCATCTGGCCCGGGTGCTCCCATGGCTTCGCTCTGCCTCCTGCAGCCTGGGGGTCGATGACTGCGATGCTGACAGGCAGATGTCTGGGAGAAAGGCTCTGCTCAGCTAACAATATGGGGGCCTTTCAGAGACATCTGGGGTCAGAAAGCTGAGTCCACGGGGCAGGTGCCTTCTGATGGATGTGGCCCCTAGCTTCCGGGAGGAATACGGGGTGCCTCTGCCTACCCCGATTCTCCCCAATCTCTGGCATCAACTACCCCTTTTCAAGGGCACCTGCAGGCACAGGCGATGACACCTTTCAGAGAAGCACACTGTATTGTTCCCAGGTCCAGATGCCATGTCACCCTTTAAGGCCCAAGACCACGACTCATGCCATTTGGACAGGATGTGGCAGGTCACTGTCCTGGAGGTGGCCGCTCTGCCAGCCTTTGTCGATCAGCTCCAGAATCTCTGCCAAGTCCTTCACCCCCTGCTCTTCTCGCCCACCCTTGAAGCAGAGTTGATAAGTAGGATCTTTGCAGCAGACAAAGCCTACCTGATTCGACTCTGTGTGGAGGTGTTTATTTACCAATCGTAAAATGAACAAGAGAAGCCTCAACTAAAGTGGAGTCAGGAAGGCCTGTAGGGGGAGCTCTCACACCCGGTCAAACATCATCAATTACTCCAAACAGGAAGACACATTGGAAGTACAAATACTTTACTACTGAGGGAAGATTTCTGTCCCCACCCAGCAACAGCCCGGCCAGTGAGAAACGCCACAGCTCAGCCAATGAGAGGCCACTGCCGTCCTGAACCGTTACTTTCCACCAATGGACTTTCTTTAGAACAGCCCCTCCCTTCTCCCCATTTTTCTCTACAAAAGCAAGCTCCCCTCCTTTGTTTTCTGGATTTTTCTATGGTCCACCACAGCATGCACATCCTGAGTTTCAATTTTGGCTATTCCAAAATACTCATTTTGAGGGTAAAATAATGAGCAAACTTGCATTTTAAGTTGATACAACCAACCCGTCCTCATGTTGAAAAGTCAGCTCCAAATGCTTGCCTGGCTGCCAAGGACAGGGAGCACTGGGTAGGAGAGAATGTGCTGGTAGGGCATCAATTGGACCAAAAGGTGCATTCCTGGTTGCCCACACTGCCGCCGGCCTGCTGGCCTAATGCTGCGAATGTTTTGGGCAATGCCATCTCTGCCAGTTACCCCTCGATTGTCCACTTGCCCATTTGTCCCCAGTGGGATTGAGCTGGGGAATAATGCAAGCTTCATTTCTGACAACTCAGGTGACGTTGGTTTCAAATAATCCGACCTGCATTCAGGACCCCTTCTGCCATTCTTGCCCACCCTGCGAGAATAACTGCCCGCCTGGTTTACTGCCCCCCAAGAGGCAGATCCTGGGGTCCCGGGTCACCCAGCCTGGATGCTGGCTTGGGAGTGACCTGTGACAGCCCTCTCTCCGGGCCGCGGGCTCTGCAGCTTCAGGCTCCCTGTGCGTGGCTGAATGTCATAAAGATACCGAGGTTTGGAACCTCAGCAAAGCCAAGTCAGGTACCGGAGCTCCACCCCTCAGGCCCTGGAATCAGAAATGTGTCCCTCGAGGCCAAACATTCAGACGAAAGGGGGCCATCCACCTGTCCAACCACCAGGCATGTGGTTTCTGGTGGTGAGAAAGGCTGTGCTTATGTTAAGGTTAGATAGAAAACCATGGTCTTCGGCATTGAGAGGAGTAATTCTCAAGTTCATCAGGCCTCGGTTTATGCTTTTCCCCTGAGGGGAAACAATTCGTCGGGTTGAAGAACATGTGCTTTGAGGGTTCTCGAGGCTGCCACCTGCTGTGAGTCTTGGAAATTCAAACCTCTCATTGACTCCCGGTGCAAATGGCTTCAATAGAAGTCAAGCATCCTGGTTCCAAGAGATGGTTCATGTTGATAACCGAAGCGTAAGTAGAACTCCACTGCATCTGGCCCTTCCCTATTCATCACTCACATGGAGGTCAATGAACTCAAGCCTGGACATTTGAATCAAACTAGTTTCCAAGGGTTGTGCACGTGAGATCTCTCTCTCTCTCTCTCTTTTTTGGTCAAGCCCTATTGGGGGCTCTAGAGTCTGAACATCAAATCTTCCTTGGCCTCCTTTTGCACGTGGCTCTGACCAAGATGAAGTTGGAGAGAACCCGTTCCATGTCAGTTCTGTGTTGTAAATGGGGAATTAGACACCCCTTCCCCACCCCATAGCTTCCCACCTGTCTCCTGAGAGGTTACAAAGTGTGTTACAGACATTAGCAAGTGTTAATCCTCACAGCATCCCTGGGCAGGAACCAGAATTATTGTAGATGAAGACGCTGAGGCACAGAGAGATGAGGCCACTGGGAAGAAGCCACACAGCAAAACAGCGGCAGAGTCAAAAAAATAAAAGGGCAGGGGGTTCTCTTCACCCCCTTAATGGCTTTGCTCTGCCAGATTCATCTCAGTTAGGGTACTGGTGAGCATACCTATGTTTCAGGTGACAGAGACATCACAACAAGGGTTGCTGGGTTAACAGTGACAAGCATTTCCCCGCCCCCAGTCCCAAACCCATTGCCACACCCGGCATGGTTGTCACGGACCTAACTCGTTGGCAGGTTTTGCCTGATTCCAGCACTGTCCTTCTGGGCTCCAGTACGTCTGGTTGGAGTCCCACCTGCTCCTTCTGAAGGGTGTTTTGGGGAACTGTGGGCCTCTTCCCACCTTGGCAGCTCAGGTCTAGGCTCCAGGGACCACTTGGCTGTCAACGGCTGACAGTCACTCTGAGATGGAGCCTGGATTATGGAGGGTCCTCTGGGCCAGTCTCCTTCCATTGAGCAGGAAAGTCCACGGCCCGCTCAAGGCAGGCAGGCTGGCACCTCCGTTCCTCGGTGCTCCATCGGAAATCGCTGCAGTCTCTTGGGATTCTGCCCGGCAGCAGAGGAGCGTCCTCAGCCCGAGGTCGCTATGTACAGTGGCGATGGCCTCTGCTGCTCTCCCTCTCTGGGCTCTCTGCGTTGGGTCTGGTGGGGCATCGGTTCCTTACACGTTGGTGACCTCCAGGCCGTTGTAGCCTTCCAGACGGCACTGCTCTGGTCTGCCCTGGGGATCATCGTCTCCGCAGTCTTCATTTTGAAGAGAGCCGTAGTCATCGTGGAAATCGGGGTCTTTGCTGCTGAAGCCCCTTCCTATCTTCCCCAGGGGCAGCTGAGAAGAGGGGAAGAGGATCAAAGGACAGGAAGAAGAGAGAAAAGAATTGAATGTTTTTGCATCTGGAAAATGTGGAGTTTCCGATTCTAATTGCTGTGCGACTTTGAGTAACTTATGTAACCTCTCTGTGCTGCTCCTATTAGTAATAATACTTCACTGCTCAGGAAGACCAAGAGGATTTTGTAAGTTAACATTAGGAGAAAGCTTTGTGTTCCCAATGGGAGGAGCCAGTTGGTTACCAAGGATGAGGACAAATACAGTCTTTCTGATGATCACAAAAGTCTCCCGTCTTCCTCCTTGGTGGAAGGAGAGTCGAGAACGGGTATAATGGAGAAGAGGTGAGAGTGTCTGAGCACGGGCGTGAAGTCTCACTGCCTTCCCAAGTCAAGAAGAAATATTCTAGCACCGCCTGATGTGGCAGAAAGAGAGTGGGTTTTGGAGACTCACAAACCGAGGTTTTCTGCCACTTCCCAGCTGTGTGACCTTGGACAAGTCACCTGCCATCTCTGAGCCTCAGTTTTCTCAGCTACAAAATGAGAATAGTAATTCTTACCTCCCAGAGTTGTTGTAAAGGGTAGAAATCCCATCCATGAAGCGCACAGGCTGGCGGAGATGAGCTATTATCACCACACACAGTGGGCCCTCGGTGAAATTTCTCTCTTATTTTGAACACACCTCGATTGCACTAGTCACGATGGCGCTCTGCAATTATTTCTTTACTTGACTGCCTTTCTTTCCAGACCAGTGTTTCTCAACCTTGTTTTCATTATTGCCCCCCTTGAAAAGGAGCCTTTTTAGACATTTTTCCCTATTCACACTCCCATCATGACATTTTCATAGCACAGATATGCTGTCTCTCTATGTGCCGTACGTATGTCTGTGCTTTAGACAGTAAAAGAGTAAGTTCCCAAAAGCCCGTGTTCACTCCTTTGGGGGTGCTGTCACCCCCAATGTGAATGCATGTTCTAGACTGGGAGCACCTTTAGGGTAAGGGGGTCATTTATTCATGCTTACGCCCCATGCTTAGGATGGTGCCTGGAGCGCATATCCCAAAGTTTTTGCTGGATGAGTGGAAGAGCTTTTGGATTTTCCAGCCCTGCCGTCTGCGTCTACACTGCTCCATTTAGGAATCTGCGTTGGTCTGAGTCTGCACGATCAGACCCAACTGCACGTGTTTGCATACACCAGTCACTCACCTGCTGCTCACAGTGCTCACGTCCCTGGAGTTCAAAACCTGAGCCGGTGGTTCTCTGAGTTCGGGGTGCACTGGAACCCCCTGGGCAGCTGGGCTGCATACAGGGCTCCCCCCACATCCCAGAGGCCCTTTGCTCCCGGAGGCCCAGGTGGACCCCAGAATCTGCATGCTAATCAACCGCCCGGGTGATTCTGATGCGGGCGGTGAGACCTGCACTTCGAGATACGCTGTTCTAAGCCTTGTGGGGCCTCATGCGTCATGCAGGTCCCTTGAAGTGGCTTCCAGGGCCTCTCTCCTAGCTGCACCTGTGACCCGGCAAATGGGCGCCCCTGCACAGGCCAAGACAGGAGCTGGAAGAGGGCAGCATGGGCCCAGGTGACAAAAAGACCTTTCCCAGGCTGTGAGACTCACAGGTGAATGAGAGCGACTTACCCGGCCAGCCTTGTACTTGATGCCTCCGCTGTTCTCCTCCTTCCCAGCCCGGGGGACGCTGGAGGCCCTCCCAGGTGGCGTCCCGAAACGCTCAGCCTCTCGGATGCCTGAGGAGCTGGGGAGAGACCCAATCTGAGTCAGCGGGGGGTGGGGGGGGCGGGCAGTCAGCTACCGACACCCAGGGACATGCACATATTGGTGACAATGACCAGAACTGCCTCGATTTACTGAGTACCTCCCATGTGCCACCGCTGTGCTCAGCACTTTATCAGTGCAATCCTCACAAGGTGCCTAGAGGTCAGGGCTACCATCCTTGCACTACGGATGAGGTAAAGGGGCACAGAGAGGTTAAGCAATTTGCCCAGGTTCACACAGCTGGAAGTGGCAGAGCCAAGATCTGACCCTAAGTGTCTGAAAGACTCCAAAGTCTGGCTCGTGACCCTCCAGTGTACTGCAGACCTTGTCAGGAGAGAGAAGACAATGGGAGAACCCCCAGATTTCAGCTAATCAGATGTCATTTGAGAGGCACTGCTCTGCATTTGAAATCTGTGTCCCCCACCTGACTTGTTGCCTGAAGTTACCCCCATTACTCCCTTTGTGCAAAAACATTGAAGGCTTCTCTCAGAACAGGATTTCACAAACTATAGCATGGGGGCCAAATCCAGCCCGCCCACTGACTTTGTGAATAAAGTTTTATTGGAACCCAGTCCATTCATTTGCATGTTGTCTATGGTTGCTTTCTTGCTCTAATGACAGAGTTGTAAGCTTCTGACACAGACCATATGGCTCCCAAGTGCTAATATATTTACTACCTGGCCTTTTAAAGAAAATGCCAGCCCGGCGTTAGAACATCAGTGCTGTGGAGCATGTACAGAGCACGGAGTCGGGGCAAAAATCCCGGTCCCGATCCAGGAGTTCTGATCTCCAGTCCTCCCACCTGCCCTCCTTCTCTGTTAGATTTGGGCAAACCACTGTCTCCCTCAGGCTCTCATGGTTCCTTCTTTGTCTGCAGGGTTGGCCCCAGCTCTGGAGAGAGCCTTCCTCCGTCGACCTTGCCAAACCCACGCGACTCATATCCAGAATCCTTCTAGAAGCTTTAGCCAGGCAGGCTGGGTTAAAACCCTGGCTCTACTGTTTACCGGCTGCACGACCTTGTGCAAGTCATTTCTCGAAATCGTAGTTTCTATACCTGCAAAACAGTGATCATAATAAAGCCAACCTCTAGAAGTTATTGTGAGGTTAGTTAAAAAATGCTCTGGAACTTAGCTGGCATCCATAAATGGCTATGATAATAATTCATATTAATTAATATTAATTTAAACATATTACAGAGGAATTGGCTCTGGCCGACAGGCAGTCAGGAGCTGGCTTTGCAGGAGCTGGGAGCCTGGGCTCGGGTCCCCACGAGGTGAGGTAGACTCATTAATAGAAATGAACCTTCTGACAGCTTTTAAGCTGCCTCAGAGAAGCCCTGCTTCTTCTGGGGCAAATTTTGCCAAGAAAGTTAAGGGGGCGGGGGAGCACGCAGGAGACAGCACTGGCCGATGGGGCGGCAGATGAGGCGAAGTTCTCAGATCCACGGTGCCGGGGGCTTCCCCGGAAAGGGGACGCTCCCGCTCTGCGGCGGGTCAGGGAATGAGGTCTTCATTAACGACTGCCCTCTCTCCCCACCTGGAGGTGAAATTCCCTGGGTCTACTGGGGAAGCAATTCTAATCGCAGAAGCTGTGAAAATCTAAAGTCACGCTGCCAGCCCTGTCTGCCGTCTTGCATATAGAAGTGCATTGAATCCCCCTGGCTCATGGAACATTAGTGGTCAATGAGCTTGGGAGAGCCCCCGGGCCCCTTCTCTTATTTTCACGGAAGAAGAGATGGCAGTCCAGAGAGCGTGTGCGGCTCATCCAAGGATGCACAAGACACAGGGGGTCGGGATGGAACTTGAACTTGGGCCTTTAGGCTCAAGATCTAGACCATGCTTTTCCCACCTTGGGGGTCAGTGTAGGACCGTGAGCTCCACATCAGTGGCCCGGCTCGACCCCTTAGAGTTGTGTCACCTAGGCTATAGAGGGTGGTTAATAACAGCACTTCTCTCATCAGGTCATCATGAGGATTAAATGAGATGATACACATAACACGTCGAGAAGTGGCTGGCATATCGTGAATCATCGCTATGATTATATCTTCCTGGGACCAACACAGGCTTTGAGGGGTGCAGACCTGGCTGGAGTCCCTGCTCAACCAGCCCCTAGCTGTGCCCTTGTGCCAGCTCATTACCTTGCTGGCCTCAGTTTCCTTATCTGTACTATGCAGCCCAGTAAGCAGTTCTGGTCTTAACAAGCTATCCCCTGAACCTTTGTGGTGTAAACAGAGGAGTACGGATGGCCCCTCTATGCCCAAATATCTTCCCTTCTTGTTTCTTCCACAGCGGCGGAAATCCCACCCTCAGTTACCCCTTTGGATTAAAACTCATGAAAAAAACTGCTAAAAAAAACCCCACAAATGCTTCAGGGAATAAGCCAAGCACAGGACTGAGGTCTTTGAGACTTGAAGTGGCTTACTGAATATTTCTAGTCACTTCATCAGACCTTGAGGGAATGGAACGCTGGAAGGACAGGTTTTGATGAGGGCAGGTTCTGGAGAACAGGGCATGTCAGTGGGGTCTCCTGAGTCAATGTGGAGGGCATCCCGGACACCAAAAAAGCCTCAGGGTGCAGGAAGCAAGTCGCGGGATGGGAACCAGCCTTTGCCAGCCGGGCTGGCCTGAGGGCTGAGTCTCACCCAATTAAATGAGGATTAAATGGGCCCGTGATGTGCAAGACGCTTTCAGACGAATGAAGTGGGGAAGGAAAGAGCATTGATTGGCCGCCTACTGTGTGCTGGGCATGACACCAGGTCGTTCACCCACATTAGCTCCTTGACCCCTCTCAGAAGCTCTGGAAGGAGGAATAAGTTGAGGGAACTTCCCCCATTTTAAGTTGAGGGAACCGAGGCTCCAGAGGTCAAGTTTCTTGCTAAAATGACACAGATGATGGTGGAGGAGCCCGAATTCAGCCCCCAAAGGCCCTGCCCCTCGTTACACAGGACCACGACTCCAGGCACTGAACCACTGGGCTCACAGTTCGGTGGTTGGGGCGGCATGGGACACAATATTATAAAACATCACCTTCTCGTGGGTGCCTGGAAACCTCAACGTCCCCTCCACCTCGGCTCGGGGGCCCTCCGAGAGGCCCAAGAAGATCCCCCCCTTGCCCATTGCTTGGATTTCTCGGACGCAGGCTTGGGGATCCTGCCAGCCAAGGAGGTGGGAGAGGCGACAAGGCCTCCTGTCCCGTGTGCTTGAGAGTCGGGTCTGTCTGAGTTCATAATGGAACTGCTTTTCTCCGCGGAAACACTAAAGAGAAAGCTGGAGCAGACAGGAGGGGACTCCCATGTGGCCAACCCAAGAGGAAACTGCTTCACGAGATCAGTCAGGCTTCGTGGGAAGTCAGGGGACGTGAACTGTCAGTCACGGCGGGGCATCTTGGTGTCAGGCACGCTGCACACAATCTGCCTCACTGAATCTTCATAACAAGCTTCAAGGTAGGGATGAATCATATTCCCATATTACAGAAGAGGAAACTGAGGTTCAGAGAGGTCAAATCACCTGCTCATGTTCAACACGGCTAGAAAGAAGAGGAGCCAGGATTTGAACCCACATTCCAGCCATTTCCCTGTGGACGAGGAAAGGGAGACAGCAGTGGGGGCTCTGGTGGTGGGTTTGGAATAATAATCACCAATATTTATGTCATTGGGTGATTTACAGTGCCCGGGTTCCTTTGCCAAGTGCTTTACGCATTATTCCACCTCATCTTTCCACCAGCCCTTTGGTTGGTAGATACTGATTGTGATCCGCATTGTGCAGATGAAGAAAGGATGGCTCAGAGAGGTTAAGTAACTTATCCAAGATCACACAGCCAGGAATCGGTACAGCTGGGATTCAAACTCAGGTTTCCTGGCTCTAGTGTGCCACAAGGAATTCTGGATGGGGCGTATATCTTTGCTTTCATGTCTACTAAACCAGTTCTTGTCTGGAGCCAAAGGCTTTCTCGGATAAGCAGAGCCCCTCAAGGACCCCGTTAGAAAGGGGAAAGAGACGCGGTCTGGAGCTGACGGGTCAGGGGGCAAGGCTGGTCCCCCAGAGGGCAGGCTGTGGTTCTGAAGATTGGGAGCCAGACCCGTTTCTGCTCCCCGGGGAGGCCGGCTCACTTCCACTCACTCTGCTCATCAAGCCCCTCCCAGCGTGGGTGGATTGAAGAACAAACCAATCAGATTTGTTCCTGATTGTCCCTCATTCCCAGGGCATCCTGGGGGTCTCGGAGGCAGGGCTGCTCCCACCAGTACTGGGCCACATGTAGGAAGGAGGAGAGAGAGAGGTCTTGACTCCTCCATTAGCGCATTTGGGCCTGCTGTTTACACTCTGGGGTGGGGGCTCATAAGTCCCCTGGGGGAGGCCCAGGGAGACGAGGCCGTGGCTGGACACCAGTTCCTCCATTGTTCTGGCCACACTTCCTGCCCTTTAGGGAAGCAGCAAAGTGTGGTGGCTTGAATCCAGCTCCACAGTTGATCAGCTTCTGGCCCCAGGCAAGATACGTAAGCGTGCTGGACCTCAGTTTCCTAGTCTGTAAAATGGGGCTCACGGTGCCTGCCTCTGAACCCGCCCGCGGCAGAGCTCAGCAAACGGTCATGGCAGTTTGATGCCCCACCCTATGGCCACCTCTGGAGGAGGGAAGAGAGGGAAGAGGGGGATGCCAGCCAACTCTTTCATTCTTGGAACAAAATGGGGCTCTTTGGAGGCCGTGGGTCATGAGGCCACAGGACGGGGAGGAGTATTAATAAGTGAGATGCAGTTTGTCTGAAGCTTCAGAGGTCTGACGGAACCCTTCTCAGGCCTAATATTCAAACAGACTCTGAATGAATAAAGATGGAATCCGCCCTGTCCCCGATTCTGTGTCAGTGACAGGATAGCGCATCCTCCGGGGAAACACTGGGGACGGTCACGCAGTTTCATCTTCTCCTTCAGCTCCTCTGATGCCCCAGTGACTGCCTTTGGAACACCACGGCCACTCCCTGCATCCTCTTTGTCCACTGGTTTATTTCCCTGGATCTTTAAGTGTGGTCCCATGACACAGAGTTGGTGCTGGCCTGGGGTTTACCGGGAGAAGCAGGAAGTCGGTGCGTGGCAAAGATACCACGAGACATGTCAGAAACCCTCCTCCTCAGTCTTGGTCCTGTGTGTTGTCATGGCGATGGGAGGAGGCTGGAGAAGGTGATGTCATGGTGGTCATAAACTCTTGGTTATCAGGTCGGGTGTTGATGGTCCCTGACTCCCTGGCCATGGGCCATAATACATGGTGACCATAATCTCCCAAGATGGTCTGAGCTGACCATGCCCCCACCCCCATCATTAAGTGACCACAGGTCTTCTTCAGGGGTCACATCTACTGGGGAGTGGAGCCAGCTACTCCTCAGCCCTCCTTGAAGCTTCCTAGCATAGTAGAAGGTCACTGGAGTCCTCGCTGGTAGATGCCAGCACTGCCACTGACTCCTGTCTGGTCCTGAACAAGTCACAGCTTCTCTCTGAAGCCTCAGTTTTCTTATCCATAAAATGGGCACTGATCCATTCTCTCTCAGCTTCCCTCAGGGGGAGGAGGATCACATGAAATAAGGGATGTGACAGCCCCTTGTTGATGATAAATTATGACATAAATACGACAGGTTGATGTTACTACCGTCATCATGGTCCACCCAGCCTGGGATTCAGCCTGGGATGCGGTCCTGGGTCAGCCTCTGATCCCTATCTCAATGGTTGGGGATGTTTCTCAAACTCAACCTTTCACTCAATCAGAGCATTCCGGAAGGATTCACCCCAAAGTGCCAGCACCACCTGCCCGGCCCCCTCCCTCTGGAAAGCTGAAGTCAGCAACAGAGAAAGAGAAGGAGCCAGAGGCCAGCAGACAGGAGGGCTTCACTGCTTGGATCAGTGTGGGGATATCCTGGGGCGAAGCCCAAAGATCTTGGTTGATATGAACCCATCGGACCTTCCCAAGTGTCTCACCACTTGCCTGGGGATCACCGTCTCCCCTGGTGTTTGTTTTAGCTGAGGACTCAACAGGGGTGGTCTCTAAAGTTCCTTAGAAACTCAAGGGGTTCTGTCTCCCCCCAGCTGACTGAAATCAGTTCCCCTGGCCTGTGACAGGGTCTCAACACAGGGCTGTGAGTTTCCAAAACCCCACGTGGAGACCTTGACTCATGAACCATGGATGGACACATGGAGGAAAGCAGCATCGTGGGAAGAGGCGATCATAGGAGGCAGGCTTGGGGTCTGGCACGGGCACTGCCTCTCAGTTCCCTGGCTGACCAGCCTCAGATTCCTCATCATTAAAATGAGGAGGAGGACAGAGTCCATTTCCCTCGTCCTCATCCTAATACCAGGAGGATTGCTTTCATCTAATTCTTGAAGGAGTCTTTGACCTACCAACCACGTAAGAACCCACCCTACCATGCCCCACCAGGAACTTCCCCAGTGCTCACCCCCTCATCCTAGACAGTCCTCAATACACTTGTCACCTCACGGGTGGTCAAGGGTTTAATCAGACACACGAATGCCTGCTAATGTTTAGCTAGTGCTGCCCCTCCAGGGCTCAGAATATTTGAAGCCTGGTACAGATCACACGACTCCATAAGAGAGGTCAGGGAAGGTGGGCAGTTCTGAGGAGAAAAGCCTTTTTCCTGCACCTGTTGATTCACGGCTCATGGAATAGGGTTCTCGTCAAAATGCTAAAATGCTAAAAATGTGGAATCCTGGGCTCTGCCGGCAGATATTGTTCCCGTAGGTCTGAGACAGGGCTGGGGGACCTGCATTTTACAAGAGCACCAATGATTCTGCTGCAGGTGTCTGTGGACCTCACTTTGAGAACCACTGAGGTATTAGCCTGCCAATGGGGAAGGACAGTCCAGGGCACCTGGACCCTGCTACAGATGAATGCTTTTCTCCCAAGCCTCAGTTTCTCCACCTGCATTACATGGGGTGTGGCTCAGCTGCTCCCTGAGGCCCCATGTGGTTTGGGGGTTCGGCACTCAGGCCTGACTCAGAGAGCCTCAGGTTCAAATCTGGGCTCTGTCAACAGATGGACAAACCTTTGGCCAGACTGACCAGGGATTAAAGAGTGAAGACTCAAATTACTAAAACCAGGAATGAAAGAGGGGGTGTTACTACCAACTTTACAGAAATAAGAGGGATTTTAAGGGAATAATTATATGATCCATTGTATGCCAACAAATTAGCTAGCCTAGATGAAACGGACAAACTCCTAGAAAGATATAAACTACTGAAACTGACTCAAGAAGAAATAGAAAACCTAAGTAGACCTATAAAAAGTAAAGAGATTAAATTAGTAGTAATAATAATAATAATAATAATAATAATAATAATAATAATAATAAACTTCCCACAAAGAAAAGCCCAGGATCAGATGGCTTCACTGGCGAATTCTACCAAATGTTTAAAGAATAAATGAACACCAATTCTTCACAAACTCTTCCAAAAAACAGAAGAGGAGGGAACACTTCCCAATTCATTCTTTGAGGCCAGTATTACTCAGATACCAAAACCAGACAAAAATATCCCAAGAAAACAAAACTACAGACCAATATCCCTTATAAATATAGATGCAAAAATCCTCCACAAAATACTAGCAAACCTAATCCAGCAACACATAAAAAGATTACACACCATGACTAAGTGGAATGCTAGGAATGCAAGGTTGGTTCAACATCTGAAAATCAATCAGTGTAATGTGCCATATTAATAGAATAAAGGACAAATCTGGGCTTTGCCACTTATTAGCTGTGTGACCTTGGACGAGTACCTTGGCCCCTTTGAACAAGTTTCTCCATCTATAAGGGAGGGATAGTGATGCTGATTTCCAGGCATTGTTATGAGGATGAAATTGCTGCACACCACAAGTGCTCAATAAATGGCCGTCTAACCCTAACTGCAATCATTTTCAGGAGAGAATCCACTGGGAGGGGCCTAGTTTATCTGTCCAGGTGTTTATTCTCTGGTCACTTTTCAGATGAGGAGACTGGGGTAGGTGGGCTCACATGGTCTGCTCACCTGGACTGTAAACACCATTAATATGCCCATCCCTGCCTCCAAACCTTTGTCCCCACAGTTAGTCCTGCCTGGACTGGCCACCTCAACCTCTCAGGCCAATGCAAATGCTCCCCAGCTCAAACCCCACCCTCACGGGGCTTTCCTTACACATGTGCTGCTCGGGCTCCCTTCTTTTTTTTTTTTTCTGTAAGGAAGCTCAGCCCTGAGCTAACATCCATGCCAATCCTCCTCTTTTTGCTGAGGAAGACTGGCCCTGGGCTAACATCCGTGCCCATCTTCCTCCACTGACAAGCAGTGCGTTGGTGTGCGCCCGGGACCCAAACCCGGGCTGCCAGCAGTGGAGTGCGCACACTTAACTGCTATGCCACAGGGCCGGCCCCCCGCTCTCCCTTCTCGATGCCCAGGGGATCTGGAATTTAACCACACGCTTTATTCCAGACCAAATGCTCCTCTGCCTCTTTCTAGTCTAGACGTTTGGGCTGAAGCACTTTGCTTCTCTGACCCTCAGTGTCCTGATCTGTAAGAGGAGACCCCCTTGTTGCAAGAGGCAAGTGGGATACAGTAAGCAAAGGGGCCAGGATGGGAAGTCAGGACCACCTGCTTCCAAAGCCTCGCGCCGCAGCCAGCGGCCCACACTCACTTGGCCGGGTGGAAGACGGCACTCATCTCCTCCGCCAGGTGTCTCCGGAGAATGTGCTTCCCGCTGGGGATGCCCAGGGCAGTGGCCATGGCCTCGGCATTGAATGTGGGTTCCAGCACCAGCACGGCACCGTGGACGCCGCTGTTGGTCAGGTTGTCTGCGTACTCCTGAGGGCAAGGCACGAGGCTGGTTGGCCTGAGAGAGCCGCCCTGCTGGCTGAGGGGGCCCCAGCTCCAAGTGGGGATATGCCCCCAACAGCAAGAGCTTGACCCCCTGAGGAACCAGTTAATTTAATACTGAGGGGGAACCCCACCCCCACTCTTAGGGCCATGAGGGCAGCGACCAAGACGATTTTGTCACTGACACATCCCCAGACCTTGGCAGGCAGCCCATAAATACTTGTCGAATGAGAAGATGGATCTGGATTCAACCCCACACTTGCTTCAGAGAGCGAGGATGGCTCAGCACCCCCGACCCCCATGATGAGAAAAGCACCATGAATGGGGGTCCTATGCAGGGGAGGGGTGAGTAGTTCCCTCCTCTTGAGTGACAGGAGGCAGGTTATTCTTGCCAGCCCGGGCAGTGATGCCCCAGTTCACACAGAAATGGATACTGATCTGCACACAGATGTGCATGGGATTTGCACATGCCCTAGAGTTGCCCCCACCCCCGCCATCACCCCTCACCTTCAGGTCGATATCTCGCACCCACTTGAGCACTCGCTGGTTGGTCCAGACCACAGGGTCTATGTTCTGCGTCTCGCAGCGGGCCCGGCGCTCCTGGAGGGCCTGGTGGGGAGGGAGAGAGTGGGTCAGCCGGGAGATGAGGGGGCACACCGAGGTCACAGGGGGAGCGAGGGTCCACGTGGCTGACAGGGGCCCCAGCGTGCCGGTGCGAGGAGTCCTGGCAGGGCCATCCACGACTGCCATAGCCACATCAATCCGTGACCCGGCCTTTCATTCTGGAAAACAGGGAGAAGGCCCCTTCTGGGGGTGGTGGGAGTCTGGAGGCAGAGATACCTGTGGCCTGGAGTGTGGGGCTGGGCGCAACCCACGGCAGCTGCCTAGTCTGTACGTTTCGGCCCCCTGCTCACCTGACATGGAGTGTCAGGTGCTCAATGCATATGTGTTGAGGGATGCCCAATGATGAGGCCCTTCCAAGTGGGGCCAAGTATCCCCGGGGTCCACCCAGCCTCTGGGGGCAGCAAGTGTCACCCTGTTATGAAACCTCACCCCTGGTGACCTGCAGAGGGGTCAGCCTGATGGCCTTTCACAAGCCTCCTTGGGGCACTGGCTCCCAAAGGGCTCTGGGCCTGTGGTGGGCAGACCCTTCTCCAGGGCCCCTGGCCCACGGGTTCCTCCAGTGTGCCCTGGCCAGCCCCCATCCCACCATGCCCATTTCCACACTTCACTGTCATGATCTTCCTGAACGTCTGCCACCTGTACCAGACTGGGGTTCCCAGGGGCCAGGGCCTGTGTCCTCATCACTTCCTGTGCCCAGGGCCCTATACCGGGTGTCCGAGAAGGCCATGAAGGCCCCTCTTCTGTCCCCTCCTGCCCACCTGGAATTGCTTGTGTTCTGACATCGCTCTAAGAAAAGCAAGCCATCTGGACTCAGCCCTGCAGGGCCCAGTCAGGGCTCCTCCCTCAGGGGAATATTTGGGGAGATGCTCTGGGAAGGTCTTGGGGGAGCTGAAGCAGATGCCCTGTGCTCTGTGGCTTGGCAGAGCTCAGGATCCAGGAAGCACTCAGAGCCCAAACTCTTCAACACGCCCCACAGTCTCCTGGTTACCTATCCCGCATGCCTCTCCACTCCCCCCTCAAACCCAACACCAGAACCACACCACACTCTCAGTTCTTCTGCCACCACAGATATGTCCTCTGGGCCTTTGCCTGTGCTGTTCCCTCTGCTGGGTTGATTTTCCCCTCATACTTTCTACTGATCAATCCCTGGAATTCCTCCTTCAGGGTTCAGTTTAGCTGTTACTATCTCTGAGAAGCTCTCCCTGATCCCCTGGAAGCTTCTGCTCTGGGTTTTCATAAAACCCTGGACTTCCCTCCTTGGGACTCTTTCCATGGTTTTGTGGCCACCAGCTTCCTGGTTCTCCCTGAGAAGCAGTGAGTTCTTGGAGATGAGGGTTCCTCATTTCTCCTGAATTGAGCACAGGGCCTGGCTTGTGCCCAAGGAGCAGTTGTCGGAAGGAAGAAAGGATGGATGCATGGATGGATGGATGCATGGATGGATGGATGGACGGATGGATGGATGGATGGGTGGATAAATGGATGCATGAATGCATGGATGGATGGATAGATGGATGCATGAATGCATGGATGGATGCATGGATGCATGGATGGATGGATGCATGGATGGATGCATGGATGGATGCATGGATGGATGGATGGATGGATGCATGGATGGATGGATGGATGGATGCATGGATGGATGGATGGATGGATGCACGGATGGATGGATGCATGGATGGATGGATGCACGGATGGATACGCAGATGGCAGATGGGTGGATGGAGAGACACTGGATGCTAGGGTGGAAAGGAGGGCTGTGGAAAGTGCCCCGCCCCCTGCCCTGGACCTCACCTCCCTGCTGAAGTTCACTTGGTACAGCAGCTCGATCCCCAGCAGGATGCTGACCTGGTGGAACTTCTTGGACACATTCAGGTGCTTCTCCAGGTCCCGCTTCATCAGCGAGTTCAGCATCCGCCCATCGACCAGGTGGTTTTGGAAGGCCTGGGAGTACTGGGACAGGCCGATGTCATTCAGCCAGGCCTTGGCCACCCAGTGATGGTCCAGGTCAGCGGCTTTGGACAGGCTGGTGAGGAGAGACATGGCCAGAGAGAGGGATGGGTGGGGAAAGGTGGCAGAAACAGAGGGACAGGGAGAAATGGGGCAGAGATGAAGCGAGAAAGGGAAAACAACAGGGCGAGGGAAGGGGGACCAAGAAATCCACAGAGTTAGACAGGAACAGAGATGGAGGGAGAGACAGAGGGGAAGACAGAGCAGAGATGGGTAGAGGTGGATGAAGGGGAGAGAGAGAGAAGGAGGGAGAGAGAGGAGAGGGAGAGAAAAGGAGAGAGACAGAGAGAGACAAAGAGACAGAGAGAGACAGAAACAGAGAGAGACAGAGAGCCCCAAAGAACAGAAAGGGATCAACAGAGAGACAGACAGAGGGAACAGGAAAAGAGAAGAGACCACATTCAGACACACTGAGAGTGAAAAGGGACAGAGACAGAGCAGCAGGGACATCGGCAGCAGGAAGCAGCCCCCCTGGGGACCCTGGCACCCCCTGCCTGCCCCGGGGACCTCCACAGAATCCCTGAGGTTCACAAAGCTTTGGCCTGGCCTGTCTCTCCTCGGACTTTGTCCAGTTGCACAGTGGCACGTCTTGGACTCAGAATTCAACCCCCCCTTTTGCTTATTCCCAGTGCTCTCTCCTCACCCCCATACCGCGGATTTCTCTGTAACCCACACAGAAATTATCCCAGGGCCACGCACACAGCAGGCGCACAACGAATACTTCTCAAATGGATGAAAGGGTGGATGCTCCTGGCGGGAGTGGGGGTGGGGGTGGGGTGGCGGTTGCGGGGCGAGGTCCCCTCGGCTGTCATTCCCTTGCCCGCCACACGGTGGCAGCCTCGCAGAAGGAATGAGGACAGCGCCTCCCACCTGCAGAGGGACTTGGAGAAATGGCCCGAGGCTGACAGGTAGGAGAGCTGCTTTACCTAAGTGGGACCCGCGGGGACCACGAGGGGATCATGATGGACTGACAGAGGGACGCCGCCCTCCTTCCCAGGCCTGGGACCAGGGCCAGCATCCTTCCCTCCCCGCCAGGTAGAAGGAACACGCCTACCCAGCGGGGCGGGGTGGAGGCTGTGAGAAGGGCGGGAGGCCTCCTCGCTTTGCACCCATCTCTGGGGCACCCCTACTGGCTGCCCAAGCTGGAGACCTGGGTGGGGCTTCCAACCCCACCTGACTCAGCTTCCTGCCTTCTACCCTCCACTGCTCACTCCAGGCACCACTGTCTCTCCCCTGAACTCCGCCCTTTAACAGGTCTCCCTGCCGCTGGGCCCTCTCCAGTCCCTGCCTGGGACAGAGCTAGCAGATCAGCCACCCCCTGCTGGTGGTCCTAGATGGCGCCTCCCTGTCCGTCCTTCCTTCCCTCATTCCGCGAATATGTACCGAGCCGCTACTGGGCGCCATATTTATGGGCACATCTTCCCTCCTGACCCCTTCCTTTCTTTCTCCATCCTCATGCTCTCCGGTGCCCAGGTGACATCCATTTCCAGGGCTCAGGCTTCCATCTGTAAATGAGGACTCCCGAATTCGCATCTCTCCTCTCTCCTCTCTTCTGAGTCCCAGATTCTAACTAACTGCCCTCTTGACATCCCCTCCTGGCTGTCACAGGCATTTCACATTTAATGGGCTCCAAATCAAACGCCTGTCCCCTCTCCCACCTCTTCCCCACCCCCACCATCAGCCCGCTCCCAGGTTCTCACTGGCCCTGCCTCTCCCCTCCCCCACCCCGTCCACCTGTCAATCACTCTGGTCAGTGTATGTCCTCTTCTCTCCTTTTCCGAGTTGAAGCCACGACCACCTCTGGCATAGATTCCTGCAGCTGCGCCCCCGCCCCACCCCTTCTAATCCACTTTCCCCGCAGCTGCCAGTGGCCTTTTAAAAACATCAATCGGATCATGTCACCCCTCTGCTTAAAACCCTCCCATGGAGGAACCTTAAATGCATATCACTAAGTGAAAGAAGCCCACCTAAAAAGGCTACACACTGTGTGATTCCAACTCTATGACATTCTGGAAAAGGCAAAACTATGGAGACAGTAAAAAGATCGGTGGTTGCTGGGGTTGGGGAGAAAGAGGGATGCACAGGTGGAGCCCAGGGGATTTTAGGGCAGTCAAACTATTCAGTATGAGGCCGTAATGATGGATGCACTTCATTATACATTCCAAACCCACAGAAGGTACACCTCCAAGAGTGAACCCTAATGTCAACTATGGACTTCGGGTGATAATGATGTGTCATCATTTATCATTTGTAACAAATGTTCCATCTGGTGGAGGATGTCGATAATGGCAGAGGCTGTTCATGTGTGGGGGCTGGGGACACATGAGAAATCTCTGTACCTTCCCCTCAATTTTGCTGTGAAACTAAAATGGCTCTAAAAAAATTGTTTTCAAAGAGTGAAGGAGGAAACAGAGACTTTTTTAACAAGCAAAATTGAGAGAATTTGTCATCAGAGGAATGATCTAGAAGAAATGTTAAAGGAAGTTCTTCAAGAGGAAAGAAAATAATAATCATGTGGAAATTTGGACTACACAAAAGAATAAAGATGAGAACTCCTCAAATTCAACAACAACAAAAAACCCGATTCAGAGATGGGCAAAGAGTGGAATAGACATTTCTCCAAAGAAGATATAAGAATGGCCGACAAGCACATGAAGAGATGCTCAACATCAGTAATCATTAGGGAAAAGCAAATCAAAACTACAATGAGATACCACTTGATAACCATTAGGATAGCAACTATAAAAAAACAACAGAAAACAAGTGTTGGCGAGGATGTGGAGAAATTGGAACCCCCGTGCACTGTTTGTGAGAATGTAAAATAGTGCAACCACTATAGTAGGCAGTGTGGCAGTTCCTCAAAAAATTAAAAATAGATTACCACATGATCCAGCAATTCCATTTCTGAGTATATATCCGAAAGAATTGAAAGCAGTGTCTTGAAGAGATATTTGTACACCCACATCCATAGCAGCATTATTCACAGTAGCTAAAACGCAGAAGCAACCCAAGTGTCCATCGATGGAGGAATGGATAAACAAAATGTGCAATACACACACAATGGAATATTACTCAGCCTTAAAAAGGAGGGAAATTCTGCAATATGCTGCAACATGGATGAACCTTGAGGACATTATGCCAAGAGAAATAAGCCAGTCACGAAAAGACAAATACAGTATGATTCCACTTATGTGAGGTACCTAGAGTAGTCAAATTCATAGAGACAGAAAGTAGAATGGTGGTTACCACTGTACTGGGGGGAGGGGAGAATGAGGAATTATTGTTTAATGAGTAGAGTTTCAGTTTTACAAGATGAAAAGAGTTATGGGGACGGGTGGTGGTGATGGCTGCACAACAATGTGAATGTATTTAATACCACTGAACTGTACTCTTAAAACTGGCTAAAAAGGTAAATTTTATGTTATGTGTCTTTTACCACAATAAAAAAAAATTTTCTTAAAGAATAAAGATGATTGGAAATCGTAAATATCTGGGTAAAGGTCTTTCTCATTTGCTAATCTCCTTAAAAGATAATGGACTGGGGCCGGCCCAGTGGCTTAGCGGTTAAGTGCGCGCGCTCTGCTACTGGCAGCACGGGTTCGGATCCCGAGCACTCACGGACGCACCACTTCTTTGGCCACGCTGAGGCTGCGTCCCACATACAGCAACTAGAAGGATGTGCAACTGTGACATACAACTATCTACTGGGGTTTTGGGGAGAAAGAGGGAAAAAAAGGAGGATTGGCAATAGATGTTAGCTCAGGGCCGGTCTTCCTCAGCAAAAAGAGGAGGATTGGCACGGATGTCAGCTCCGGGCTGATCTTCCTCACACACACAAAAAAAGATAATAGACAGTTTAAAAGAAAAATCATAACAATGGATTATGGAGAGTATAATATAGAGAGATAAAAGGGTATGAAAACAATAGCGTAAAGGAAGGAGAAAAGAGCATGTTACATTATACAGGAAGTCGCATAATATTATTTGAAGATAGACAGTGGTGTGTATATGGTAAACCATAAAGCAACAATTAAAAATAAAACAAAGATGCCTAGCTCATAGCCAGTAGTGGGAATATTCAACTAATAAAAAGTCAGCCAGTGGAAGAGGGAAAAAAGAACAGAGTAGATTTAAATTAAATAAAACAAGAAAACTCTTTCCTGGCTTCTCTTTGCAGGAATAAGATGGGAAGTCCTTGGAGGAGCCTGGCGAGGTCCAGGCTCCCCTCCCGCACTGGGCTCAGGCTGGGGGCACTTCCGGGACACACTGAGCTCTTTGCCCCTCGGGCGCTGGGGCTCCCCAGGGTGCCCCTGCACCCACTTCCTTCCAGCCCTGCCCCAGGCTCACTCCTCACCCCCAGGTCTCCACTGTGGCCTGGCAGAGGTTTGCTCTGACCTGCGGTCTGAAGTCGCTCCCCCAGCCTGCTGCTCTGCCTCCAAGGGTTTGCTTCACAGCACCAAGCACACGTGGAACTTGGAAAATTCATTCATCTGAGCGCAGGGACTGTGCTCTCTAGGCTCTGAGCCAGCCTAGCGCTCGGGCATCATCCACTCCGTGGAAAGAGGAAGGGAAGGGAGGTGGGCTCCCAGCTCCACCCCACTCCTCCTGCCCCGCAGCCACCCAGAACCACTGGAGGCCGCCCCCAAGGGCCAGGGTCTCCCGGTCTCCAGCCCTCTTCACCGGCTTAGCTCCTACAGGACTCTGCTGAGACATCCTCTCCCTGAAGCCTTCCAGGCCCCTGGTGCTGGGTCGGAGCCCTCTCCATGCCCAGAGCCTCCCAGAGTCCCCATCCCTGCACTTGTCACCCTGGATAACTGCTGCTCAGGTGGCCAGCTGCGCACTAGACCGTCAGCTGCCGGAGGGCAGGGCCGGGTGTGGCCTGTCTACGCACACCCCCCTCCCGCCTGGCTCACAGCTAATGCTCAACAGCTCCTGTTCTCTAATCCAGTGCGCAGAAGACGGAGCAAGGCTGGCGGAGGGGGGCACTGGCTCCAGTCCACCAGGAGGCTGCCCAGCACGAGCTCCTGAAATGGAATCTTCTAGCCCAAGACAAGCTCCCTTCTAGGATGAAAAGGTCCCAGGACAGAGCCCCACCCAGCCCTCTAGGGCCGGCTCCCGCCCTGTCACTTCGGAGGGGCCCCTCCCAGGCCCCGCCCTCATTGGCCTCTCGCCCGGGCAGGAGCTGGGGCTCGCAGCCGTCTGAATCAACGCTGCGGGGTCAAGGTCGTCACTGATGGAGACCAGACGACCTCCTCTTCCGTCCGAAGGAAGGGTTTGCTCAGCAAATCGATGGTGCACCCACACGCAGGCTGGAGGGGTGGGAGGGGGCGCCTCGCTTACCCTCCTGGAGAGCGGCCCATTTGTAATCAGCAATATCCATCCACATGCCAATAAGTAGTGCACCCCTGCCCTTCAAAACGCTTCTCGTCATTAAAGTTGTCCCCATGGGGCCTCAGCTTGGCAACCCTTTCCCAGCTGTTGGTTTGAGCTGTTGTAAGCGCCCAAGTCCGATAAAACGGCATGACTTTAAAAGTAATTCAGACATTTTATAAAATTGACACTGCCCCCGCCGCAAACTGGGGCTAGATTAGACCCTATAATCTGAGTTTGGGCACAGAATTTAGATATCACCTGGGCTATTATTCAACACAGGAAACACGAGGGCGTTCTGGTTCCACCGCCCTTAGCTCCAAGACTGTGCACCTCTGTGCCTCAGTTTCCTCGTCTGTAAAATGGCGATAAGCATGCTTGCCCCCGAATTGTGAGGACTAAAGGGAAGTAAGAGTGTAAAACCCTTAGCACAGAGTCTGGGACGCACTCAGTGTTCCATCAATAATAGTAGGAGGCGTCGTGGTTGTTTTAACACAAAGGCCACACGAGATAGCAGAAAGGGAGTTGATTTTGAAGTCAGAAGTTTTGTAGTGTGACTTTGCGCCCATTATTTCTCTGGGTTTCACTTTCTCCACCTTTCAACTGGGCATAAGAGTGTCTATCCTACACTGATGTTGTGATGGTTAAACAAAATCATGTCCATAAAGTGACAGGTGATGGGTTGGCAGGGGTTGGTGGATTCTGTTGTCAGTATTTTAGAGATAAGGGGAACCAGGCCCAGAGAGGGCAATGTCATGCCTAAGGTCACACAGGATGTCATGGTTGGAAACGTTCTTGAAGATGATCTCACTGGGGTTCTTACCCTAGATTCTGAACCCCTAAAAGTTCCATGGGTCGGTCAGAGAGTCCCAGAATGCAAAGTTGTGAAGTTTTGTAGATTTCTTCTGGGAAAAGTGTCAAAAGCTTTTATTAGATTTTCTAAGGGGCCATGATGCCGAAAAGTTAAAGAACCACTGTCCTGATTTAACTCCCTTTATTTCACAGGTGGAGAAACTGAGTCCTAGAGGGGGCAAGGTCACATGGCAAATGAGAGGCCAGAGTTCCACAGGGAATGGACCCTCAAACTAGGCCCCTCCCTTCTCCAGGAAGCCCTGGGGGTGTCTAATGCTGGGGCCCCATGATCCTTGGAAACAGTCCTGCTTAGAGCTCCCAGAATTTTTCAAAATCTGTTCACATCTGGCTGCTGATCTGAATCCACCCCTTTTGGGTGCCATAGCATCTTGGCTCCTGGAGGTTCTCGGTGTCAGCTACGTTTTGGGGGAAACTCAGCAGTGATCCCGCACTTTCGAAAGGTGAATCGGGCAGCCCCACCCTGTTCAATGAACAGAGGTGGCGTTTTCTGACCGAATTGGGAGTGGGACCAGGGGCAGGAGGGGTTTCCAGCTTGGGTGACGGAGGATGGTGAGTGCTTTTGGGGGTGCGAGGGGAGGGCACTGGTTGGGAGCGGGTGGTGAGCGTGAGGTGCCTGAGGGACCCCCGGGAGGGGAAGCTGGGTGAGGCTGCTCTCCCCGCCCCCATCACCCCGCTCCTCCATCTCCTACCCCAGCCCCGTCGTCTTCTTGCTTTGAGTTGTTACCTGAGTTTCTGATCCGTCTCATCTCATGATTTCCCGCCACCCGGGAATCCCGCCAAGGGCCCACTCCGGGACACACAGCGCTTTGGTGTTCCTGCTTCCAAACCAGCCTGAGTTCCCACCCCTAGCCCCCTCCTTTTTTTCAGTCTACAAAGCTCCTTCTGCACATAATGGCACACACCACCAGCTTTGATTAATTAACTGCACAAAAATGATGGGGAAACCAGTGAAGGAGATGATTATGCAAAACAGAAAGTGTCCGATTTACCAGCTAGTTCTTTCTCCCCCCTCCTCACTCTGAGGCCCTGGGGGGGGTGTCCTTCCCTTTTCCCTGGAGCTGCTTGGTGAATGAGGGACGCCCCAACAAGTCCTGCTCACAAAAAGTCAGGGGAGAGGCAGGCGGGAGGCAGGCTGGGGTGGGGATGGTATGACAATGGGGACAGGGCGGCCTTTCTGGGGACATAGCCGATGGGAGGGACTCGAGGCCATTCCCAGATGTGCTCACTAAAAGACCCCTCCTACCGGCCCCGTCCTCTGTGGGAGAGATTGCAATAAGCCGATGTGTGCCCATTTCTGCCTCTCTGTCCGATTCTGCTTCTCCCCACTTTATGCCGTTTTCCTCACTCTGGAGTGATAAGAGCTGGGGTTTGAGGTAGACGTAGGCCAAATTTTGGCGAAATTCCCAGACCCACTTGGGCTGGCCCTCCGAGTTCTGGGGGTGTGTGAGGCCCCTCTGACCCCTCACTGGGGAGATCATAGGGCATTTGGGCCTCCCTTAGTCCCTGTGTCTCCATCTTTCTATGGGGAGGGCTGGCCCAGAGAGGGACTGAGGTGCTCCTGAGCCTGCTGGCCACTGGCGTCCTGGGACCATTTCAGTCACACCCCATCCTCCATCACACCTGGCCAGCCTACAGCGCCCGTTCACCCCACCCGTGTGATCTGGGGCTCTCGGGTGGACTTTTCTCCCTCCTCCCTGGGGGCCCGGCCCCAGCAGAGGCCCGGGAGCGGTGGCTCACCTCCGGCCCGCCTCGGCGTCGCGGTAGTCCTCGATGGCCAGCCGCAGCTTGCGCCGGTGCAGGGAGCTGCACACGCCCAGGCCCAGCTCCAGGTCCTCGTCACTCAGACTCAGCAGCACCTGCTCCCGGGAGGGTGGGGACTGAGCGCCCGGGAGGGAGGGCTGGGGGTGGGCACCCAAGGCTCCCAGGACCTGTGCTGGGGGGGCCGAGCCCCAGAGGGGTCTGCTGGCTGGGGCTGCTCTCCCGTCTCCCTGCCCATCCTTCCTTGCAGTCCAGCGGAGCATCTATGCAGCCCACCTAGGGGCCGCTGCTCCCTTAGGTCGCTAGGGTCACCACCCAGGCTGAAAGAGCCTCTAGTCCAGTCTTGACCCCCTTCAGCCACGTAAAGGAAGGTGAGTCCCATTTTAAAGATGAGGAGGCTGAGGCTCCGAAGGGCTGTGTGCCTTGCTGGGGAGACAGTGATTTAGGGGACGCTGGAGCCTGAGCCCGGGTCAGCCGGCCCCTAGACTACGTCTCCTCCTATCTCGGGGGTGGGAGTTGGGGGGGACAGGCCAGCTCTGGGCTGGTAAGGCTCAGGGGAGGGTGAGGGGGCATGCCCACGGGGTCCTGGACGTGCCCTACCTTCCCACTCTTCACGTTCTCCGCGCAGGCCTTGACGTACATGGGCATGGCCATGACCACCTCCAGCCAGGCCTGGACGGTGCCCGCCTTCCAGTGGGACATGGGGGTGGTCCTGACTAGCTCCACCTGCTGCAGCCGGTCCACCTGCTCCTCGCCCTCCGACAGGCTGAGGCTCTGCCGCGTGGGGCTGCACTGGCTGTCCGAGTCTGCAACACACAGGCGCAACACACACGGCCACGCTGGGGGGCGGGCCGGGCGCCGCCCCCCCGAGTCTGCCCTCCCGGGGCGCGGGGGCAAGCAAGGGTGTCCTCCCTCATGCATTCCTTCTCGTCAGAATCAAAATGGCTTTTATTTGTTTTGCTGCCTCTCCCCCCATTACAAGAGTAATCTAGTAAAAAAAAGAATTTAAAAAACTCAATCTGGAAAAGAATAAAAATAAAACAGGAAGTGAAAATCACCCCAAATCCCACGCCACCCAGAGACAGCAGCTGTTAGTATTTAGCTGAATATTCTTTGGGAAACACAAATGCCCACGCTTACAAACACACGGACCCACGTGCTTACACCGTGCGTTCGTTTTGTGAGATGTGGTGCTAATTTACACTGCGGAGGACATGCTTCCATCTCAGCAGAGAACTGTGCTGTCTCTTGGCTGCACAGGATTCATCGAATGGATGCTCCGCAATTTATTTCCCCTGCCTCCTGTTGATGGGCAAGGGTCGTTCCCCATTTTTCACTATTGTAAACAACGCAGCAACAGGCACCTTTGGGCAACGGGGTGATTTATTTTCTTAGGATAAATGGAGCCCCAGTTCCATTCCTTAACACACTGCAGCCCGTTTCTGGAGTGGCCCTCACAGACAAAAACGTCCATCCACCAACACCTTCCAAACCTATTCTTCAATCGGTGGTCGTTCAGCTCCATTAACACTTGGTAAATATGCCAAGTCCAGGGTACACAGGAGAGAAAATAATCTCTTTGTCCAAAGCAGGGCTACATAAAAACCCAAACAGACAAACTCAATACCATTAAACGACAAGTATTAAAAAATAAGCCGGATGAGAAATGACCCTACCGAAATTGTATATTCCAAATCATCATAACATGTAAAAACTGCTTATCCATCAATTCGAGCGCATGGTTAAAACCGTGGGTATGAAGCACACACGAATGCTAACAGTTTCTGAGTTTGGGGGCCGGGAAGACGAAGTTCTTTCCCTCCTACTATGCCTTTGTGCATCATCAAAGTTCCATGATAAACATGTATAAATTTATAATGAAAATAGTTGGAGAATTTAAGAAATAAGAAGCAGTACAAATGGTTATGGATGGCAGTTTATCTGAATGAATGATGCTCCATTCACATGTTGGAGCATATGCGATTAATGAGAAATCTGTCACCGGAGAGTACTTTTGGTGTGGGAAAATGTTCACAAGCTATTGCCAAGTGAAGGACAGTGTAAGACAGCAGGTACAATGTAACCCCAACCATACTTTTAAAATTATATACATAGTAATATATATAATTATAATTGTGTGTATATATATACATCTATATACATATATAAAATACTAGATGGATACATGTTCAAAGTCTTTATCTCTGGAAATGGGTGATGGGTAATTGTGCGTAAGTGTGTGTCTGTGTGTGTGTGAATGTGCACGTTTCAGTGTTTGAGAGTATTTGTGAGTGTTTGCATACTTTTCTGTTTCCCAAGTTGTCTGCATTGACTATACTATTTTTGAAACTGAAAAAAAAAACCCAGAGCCTGGAAATCTCACTTTTCCCAGTTACAAAGCCCCTCCCTCCATGTAAACCCCCTGAATGACTCTTTGGAAACAGCTGCACCTGTTTGGTGACCACACACACCTCCTTCATCCCAGCTCTGCTGACATGGTTCTCCCCAACGCCCGGGGGCCTCCCACCGCCCAGCCAAGAGCCCTTCAGAGCCCACAGCCACCTGGTCTGGAAGACGCCACCCCTGGGCCAGCAGGGCGCCGGGCAGAGTGACCTAACTCTGGGTGGGCAGAGACGATGCCTGGTGCCTCAGTTTCCATCTCTGTAAAGTTGGTGTGATGCTCCTCCCTGCCACCTGCCTCCTCTGCTCTGGGGTCTCAGTGACGGTGGGTGTCACTGAGTGACAGTGGGTATGACAGGGCTTGTCTGTGCCAGGACGGGTGGGGGTTGAGAGGTTACTGCAGCATCATTCTATTTCCCTTCTCCCGTGGGTGGAAAGCCTCCTTGTCCCCCTGGGAGACGGCAGAGGGGCACTGAGCTCTGTGCAGGTCGCGGGTCTGAGCACCTGTGTTGCCAGGGCTCTGGGGAAGGTGGAAACAGCAGCCCTGTAGCCCCGCCTGGGGAGAGGGCTGCTCAGCTAGGGGAGACAGGCCGGAGCCTAGGTGCTCCTCCTGCTGGAGCCAGGCTCCCAAGGACAGGCTCGGCTCGCAGAGCAGTCTTTCTGATCACGTCCTACAGAGGCTGGCCGCTGGTCCTCCCTGGGTGGGAGAGCTGAGAGCCTCTGTCTTGTTCCTGTAGCTGAGTCCTGTCTCTGTGACGTACTTCTGGGAAGATGAGAGACGACGTGTGGCTGAAAATACCAAGACACAGCCCGTGCTCTCCATTTGGACCAGGCCTGTGGAGCTGAAGAGACCTTAGCACTGGGCAAATTGCTTCACCTCCTGAAACCTCAGTTTTCCCATCTATAAAATGGGTATAGTAATAATATCTACCTCCTAGCTTAATATGACTATTATAAATTCCGAATGGGAAGCCCCAGGAGGCACCGGTCAAGGGTAGCTATTATTGGTAATACAGGCCCCTCCCCTGGGGCTTGGGCACTTTTTGGCTACACTGAGGATTCAGCGGTAGTTGCCTGCATTCCTGGGATGAATGTGGCTTGAGTTCAGCTAAGGTGCTCAGGGAGGGAACCTGGTCCCACTTGTCAAGCTCACCTGGGCAGAAATTCATCGTAGACTCCACCTGGTCCAGGTGGGAGGGGTGGGGCTGTCTGGGAGGGGGGATTTGTCTGTTCTGTGCCAAGGTGGGCGGTGGGGGGTGTGTTTGCAGTGCTTGGCAATGTCGCCCCGAGTAAGGGAGATAAAGGGGCAGGAGAAGGGAGAGACAGGAGGAGACGGGCAGCAGGAATCAGAGAGAAAGAGGAGAGAGGAGAGAGAGAGAGAGGAAAAAGCGAGCTCTAGAGAGGAGGGAAGAGAGAGAGACTCAAAGAGCGAGGCTTCAGGAGAGAAGTATGCTACAGAAACAACAAAGGCAAAAAGATAGGAAGAGGGAGAGAGTGAGTGGAGGGCAGGGAGGAGGGAATGACAGACAAGTAGACGGACAAAGAAAAAAAGCAAACTTCCCCTGTGTGTGTGTGCGTGTGCATGCGCACACGCGTGTGTTTTCCTGAGCGTGGTGTGTCTGTGTGTTATTCTGGAGCTAACAGGCCTGAGGCCTGTCGGGGGGAGCTGGCTTTTCAATTCACAATATTTACGGAGTCCAGGCTGGAGGAACGCCAGAGGCCAGGCTGGGTTCAGATGGGCAAACCACACGTTTGGTTTCTGAGAAAAGACAGCTGTTGACCAGCCCACCTCCTTCACCCCACCCCCGGGGCTGAGCTCCAAGGAGATGACGCTGCGGAAGGACTGGGGAGCAGGGGAGTCTTTGGGGTCATAAACCGTTAATTAAAGGCAATTTCCAAAATGCAGGCATTATGGTGCCAGATTTTATGTCTGGGATTCCATCAACCCTGGCTTTTATTTCCCCCCTCTCAGCTCTGAGAGGGGGAATAACTCATGTTTATAGCTGGGGGGCTCTGTGGAGGGCTGCGGAGTTAGAGGGGCCGCCTGAGGCCCTGGCAGAGTTGGAGGAGATGCCACCAAGAGGTGGCCACTCTGGATCCTTCTGAACCCCGGGAGGACCTTGGTGACTTTGGAAGGTGAGGTTCGGCATTATCCTCCCCCACTCCCCCATACGATGCACCATAGGATGTGAGTAATTCGTTATGGAGGCTTCCCCAAGCTGGGCCCACAGATGCAGCGATGTTTCCTTGCACAGGGTTGGCAAACTACAGCCTGGGCCCAAATCCAGCCCTCTACCTGTTTTTCTAAGTAAAGTTTTCTTTCTCATTTGGTTACTTGTTGTCTAAGGCTGCTTTCCTGCAGAGTTGAGTAGTTGTGACAGATTATTATCTGGTCCCAAAAGCCTAAACTATTTGCCATCTGGCCTGTTACAGAAAATCCTTTACAGAAACCCTGAGGTTCCAGGTCGGCATTGGAATATGAGGGCCCTGGCTGTGAATCCCAGCTCTGCTGGTTACCAGCCAGATGATCTTGGGGGAGTGTTCTTAATTTCCTCAGCCTCACTTTCCCCATCTGTGAAATGGGATGATAATAATGCTGATCTCACAGGTCTGTGTGAGGACTAAATGAGATGATGTACAATGTATACAGAGTGCTCGGCCTGGTGTCTGGCATACAGTGGGCGCTTAATGACCACGTGGGGCCCTCTGTCCTCTGCAGGCTCATGTCACTTCCAGTCTAGACCTGCTCCGTCCAGTATGATAGCTACAAGCCACATGTGGCTTCTGAGTCCTTGTGGTGTGGCCAGTCTGCAGAGAAAAGTGCTGGAGGTGTACAAAACACACTGGATTTTGAGGACTTTGTACAAAAAAAAGTAAACTAGCTTATTAATAATTTTTATACTGATAACGTCGAAATGATAATATTTTGGGTATATTGGGTTAAATGAAGTATATTATTACAAGTCATTTCACCTGTTGCTTTTTATTTTTTAATGTCTCCTAGAAAATCTAAAATTACATATATGGCTTGCGTTGTACTTCTATTGGACAGAGTGGTCTGGGTGGAAGATTTTGTTTGTTTGTTTGTGTTCTCACTCCATTTTTCCCCCTCTGTTGGTTTGGAAATTAAGCACCCTATTTCTCTGTTTTTGGTGCAATAGTTCTCGAAGTGTGGCCCCTGGGCCAGTAGCATCAGCAACGCCGGGGAACTTGCTAGAAATGAAAATTCTAGGCGCCCACCCCAGATCTCCTGGAACAGAAGCTTTGGGGGTGGGGCCCAGTAATCTGTGTTTTAAGGAGCCCCCAGGTGTTTCTGATGCACGCTGAAGTTCCAGATCCATTCTTTAATGGTTGCTCTTTTTTTTTAATTTTATTTTTTATTTTTATTTTTTTTGGTGAGGAAGAT